TACGTTGCGAGCACGCGCTTTTGTTCGTGCACTGGCGTGGAAGAAGGCCGATCCTTTAGGCAAGCTATAATTATTTGAATTTTAAACAAAGCTGTTCACTCACAAATTGTACGAATGATGGTATATAGATAAGAAGAATCACGAGCAAAACTCTGCTTCTTCTTGGTGGATCATTACACAATATGTAATAGCGGTAACAGAAAGAATATACTAGACTAAAGAACCAGTGGGCATAGCAGTGCAACATAAAACTGTACCTAAAAGAGATTTCTCGCAATGAGCTCCAATTGTAAAACTAGGCAAATTGCTACTTACGCGATTAGGCACGCTAGTGGACCGAAATAGCGACATGGTCCATATGAAAGGTAGAACAGACCCAAACCGCCGGGAAGAATCCTGAACAAAACATGTTACTACTCAGTTACTTGAAAATATTACATAAGCGGTTAAAAATCAAACCTTTGTTGAACAGTTATCGAAGCGATGCAAGACAAAAGATCGGTAATGGCAAAGTTGAGAATTAACATAGAATAAGTAGTCATAGTTGATGGGGTCCTTTTGATCACAACATAAATGAGAATGATATTGGCACAAATACCAAAGAAGTTAGTGACTGAATGTATAGTAAAACTGATTGCAGATAAGAAATCCATGGCTGAAAACAAATTTTATTGTTTTGAACTACGTAACAGATCAAGCTTTGTTCCACGATTGAATGCAAACTTTGTTATTCCACTTGTCCAAGCAGCAGAGATGAAATTAAGCGCAAGAAAGTGAAGATAAAACAGACGTGAACTTTCACTTTTGCTCTTTGTCATTGATTTTGCTTTTCATCAATCTAATGTGTGTTCAAGCTTAGAAAGAGAAGAGATGTAGGATAATAAGTCTAAAATATTTATAAAGCATTTACTCCAAATTCTAGCCTTTGCATAATATATAATTTATCCCTAACATATAATTTATCCCTATCTTAGATAAATATTTAGCTGCACCACGATGTCGATTCCACAGAGAATGAGGGCCATAACGATTGTTGTTTGGAAAATTGCAGAAAAAAAGTTAGTAACAGAAAAAGTGTTTGATTTTGTTTATTGCGTCGTAGTACAATACCGTCGGCGCCGGCGTTAAAATTTGCGAAGTAAACGCAATGTCGCGTCGGAAGCGCCGCATTGTCATAACTCTTTTGTACTAAAGAAAACAACAAAGAAAATTACATATTCAGAATCAGCAACC